TGCCCCGATACACCTTATTTGACCGAGCTATAGTTATAAAGCATCATAAAAGGAATTTATTTCTCAAGTTTAAGAAATCTGTAGGCCTGCTCTTTTCATTTACTAGATCTTGACCTTAATACACTAGACAAAATTGCTAAAGCACCACTTATTATTCTTATTTGTGAATTGATCATTTTCCTGATTGGTACTAATATATAAAATATGCCATCTTTTCCAAAACAGTTGGATTGACAAATGTCTTGGTGTCACGTCAAGACCCTTAAAGGACTTTCTTGTCCGAAAATCAATTTCTCGACATGCACTGCGCACCGTTTTTGCCAAGATATGAAGTTGGTGATTACCGATGGTGGTCCGTGAGGTTGCGAGGGGAGCAGTCTCCCACTTAAAAATCAAATGATATACCCTGATTGACTACTATATCGCTTAGTACTCATCCAGTGCCTTGGTGTCCCTACCAAATCCACCCAACTTCCGGTTGCCCCAATTTTGTGGAACAATCTTGAAGTTATTGTGTGGTGCTTACTTAATGCCATCTCTATCTATTGTAAACATTTTTATGATTGTTTATTCATTTTCAACAATTTTTCATCAGAAAAATGCATAATCTATTAATTGTTTTAATTTTTCACGAATTTCTTCAAAGGAACCCCCTGCAGACACTATACTGGCTGCCTTAGCACGCTCTTCTAGAGTCAACGCCGCATACAGTGTTTTTTTTTTTTTTTTTTTTGAGTTTTTAATTAGTACAAACATAAAGAACACAACCACAAAGAAAAATATAGAAATTTATTCCACCAAAAAAGTATGGACATGATTTTAATTTTTTCTATAAAGTGGTTACGCTTCAGTAAACATTGTTATTATTTATCAGTTTAGAAATTTAAATGTCTCATTTTCCATTAAAGTAACATAATTATATATCAAAAACATCATAAATAATTTTTGAAAAGAAAAATGTAAATTTATTTAGGTGGCGTGTTAGCAATTTTGTCTAATGTATTTGTGTCGTTTACTAATTATTGAATTAGAAATTAGGAATTAGAAATTCATATAATGAGTACACGATAAAGTAACTCCAATTAATTTCCAACTCGGCCTGTGGCGCTTTTTATCCTAATGCTTCAAATGCTTTTGATAAGGGGAAACTGTTTTACTATATGAAGGAATAAAGATGTTAAAAACAACTTTTGGATATTTTCGAGATTTATTACGTATTTCTTTCGGACTACAGTTTGGTCTTGATGGCACGGCTGTCCGTCTCCAACTGCTTAACAAATAACAAGTTTGAGTGAAGCAAATTAAACAGAAGGAAAAAATTAAGTCTCACACAAAGAGATAAGATAAGAGGGTGGCATTCTATAGATGGACACTTAAATCAATATATCAGATAAACAGCGTTGTTATAAAAATCACTCGTAAATCCTGGTCAAGGCGTGAAAATTACCTAATGGAATTAACTTGTTTTACGCCAGTTGTTAATTCGGTTAATTCAAAATGGTTTTCGTGGAATGTTAGATATTTTTCTAAACAAATAGGTTTCATAAGCTTTCATAAAAATTATCACAAATAGCAGCAAGAATAACTAAGTAACAAAACAATAATTAAAATAAATGTGAACATTTAAAATCTTGTACTTTTTCATCACGACATGTGTTACTGAATACTAATGATTTTATTGATCCCTGACTCGAGTCGAGTATACTTGTTGACATCCCGAATACGAGGGTTGTTCAATAAATTATATCCTGAACTTTATGATATATACTATGGTGGCGTATTTCTGCCCCCTACATGCAAGATAATTTATGTTAACATGCGAAAAAAGTATGTCAACATGCAAGATAATTATGTCTACTTGCATAATAATTATGTTGACATGCAAGTTATATACCAATCTTTTTAGAGAATCTAATTTCAATGTTGGTAAACATACTTACTAATGCCGGTTTACGACATCATACAAGCAAGATGCAACAGAATTATGTTGACATGCGACTTATTCATGTTAACATGCAAGATAATTATGTAAAATACAAGATATTTATGTCAATATGCGACTTATTTATGTTAAATATAGACATGCGACCTGTTCATGTCAACATGCAAGATAATTATGTTAACATGCAACTTATTTATGTCAACATGCGACTAATTTATGTCAACATGCGACTTATTTATGTCAACATGCGAGTTCTATTTTAACATGCAAGATATTTATGTCAACATGCAAGATAAAAAGTTGCATGTCAACAAACATATCTCGCATGTTGACATAATTAACTAGCATGTTAACATAATTACCTTGCATGTTGACATAAATAAGATACATGTCTACATAATTATCTTGCAAGTTGACATAAATAAATCGCATGTCCACATAATTATGTCGAATGTTAACATAAATTAGTCGCATGTCAACATAATTCTGTTGCATCTTGCTTATATCTTGTCATATAATGGCTTTGGTAAGTACATGTAGTTTTATCAACATTAAAATTAAATTAGATTCTCTAAAGAGATTGGTAACTTGCTTGTCAACATAATTATTCTGCATGTTGACATAAATAAGTAGCATGTCTACATAATTATGTTGCATGTTAACATAATTTATCTTGCATGTAGGGGGCAGAAATATGCCACCATATAGATATACAATAAAGAAATCATATGACATTAACATTGGCTTTCTCTTATGATTGAATCTTTAATAATTTGACAATCGTTTAGGCATCCACGTTTTATCATAAGTTTCATTGTGAGAGGCTGGAAAACAAACTAAGTCTGTTCGAGACACTGCAATAAAAATGAATGGTAAAGAATCAGTAAACAAGATGGAAATTAGAAACTTCATTAAAGCTGCTGTAAAACTTGGTAAGGATCCCAAAGAAATATTGACTGAAATATGTGATGTTATAGCAACCAATGTTTGTTCACAAATTTTAAAATTTTAGCAGATCAGTATTCACCTATGGACCTATCTTTTTTACAAAGAGTGTGTGAGATAATTCTAAAGGGATAACTGCACTTAACGCTGGGTTTGGGTCTTTTTCGGTCGTTTCTGTTGTTTTTATATCTTAATTAACCTTATTTCACTTTTTATATTTAATAAAGAATTCTTTCAATTCGGCACCAAAGAACAAGTCTCAATAAGGCCTTATCTGTGGTTCCCGGTTACTCGTCAAATTCTGAACATTTATTAAACACCTTAAGAATTAAATCATATTATCAACTGATGTCCTTATTGTTTAACTCAACATCTGAAAATGTCAAACAATAGATATAGACAACATACGAAGCTGTGTTTTGAAGGTGGGTCCCTTGATTTTCATGAATATCAAAAGAAATCAATGAAAGGTGCACACTTCGAAGCTTTCGTAAACACCGAGCACAGGTTTGTTCAGAGCCGAGTTCGAAATATAATGTGTATATTATATGTATAAGAGTGAGTGAAAATATCTTTGTTGAACAACCTTGTGCTCTATGTTTTCTAATTAAAAGTACTGTAATTTTGAATCTCTTCGCTGAATTCATTTACATGCTATTAACCTCTTAATGACCTGTTTAGAATCATAAAAAGCCACGTCGATTTGTATCGTCACGGGTAAATGCCCAAACGTGCTAGCTCTCTGTTGAAACCAGTTCTCAGTTTCATATCGGTTATCATGGACATTTTTGGCTCACCTTGTTTAAGTTTTGCCAAAGGTCAACATGTCCAAAAATTTATTTTTACAATAGCTCCAAAACTATGTGGTTTATAAAGTTAAAACTTTTACAGTTTATAAATATATCATTGATTATCAGATAGAAACTATCACTTGATAACAAATACTTAAAAACATATTTATCGAGAAAAATTCTTTAAAAAAAAATACACCTAATTAATTCCGTACTTTTAATGGAAGCCATCATCGCAGAAACAATGTAAGTTTATCAATGAAGGGCAAGTTGGACTTCGATAGCCTCTAGAAAGTTGTTTTCCCAGTTTATTTTGTCCAAATGTTAAGATATGAAACCGAAAGTACATTGCAAATGGCGGATTTTATAGGGGTCTTGTCTTTATACATGTCAAGCTTTCAATAACAAGCTTTTAAGAGACCATTCCAACTTGTCCTTCATTGACAAACGTATATTATTCCTGCAATGATGGTTTTCACTTAAAGTACAGGATTAAGCAGGTGCATTTTTTTTTAAATGCAAATTTTTTGAAATTTATTTTTAATTTTTTTTTTCAAGTGATACTTTCTATCTGTTAATCAATGATATATTTATAAACTGTAAAAGTTTTCACTTTATACCTCACATAGTTTTGGAGCTATTGTAAAAATAAATTTTTGGATATGTTGACCTTTGGCAAAACCTTAAGCGTTTTATTGCCAAAGTTTTGTACATAGAAAATATTTAATCGTATTTGTGGATGATTGTGATTCTTCAACATACAATTCATGCAAGAAAAATATCATGAATATTTCTTTCTGTTTACGCCTCTTCTTTGAACCATACCTTTTTTTTTTACATTAAAATTCCGTTGTTTGTTTATGTCGTTGAATTCATTAAACATAGCAAAAATCCGTCGATAATTCAGTGTGTAAATAATTGCCCAACAATTAGTATGAAAAACGTCAGTCAGCATTTGACTTAAATTAAATTGCATAGAACTTACGAAATGACGACTTTAAACGAGACTGCTGATATACTTGTTTCATCAACTTGTTTGTCAATAACTTACCTCGTTTTCGAAATTGTTCATACGTAGAACATGTACTTGCATATCGAATCAACTGAGAGATGTAAACCCCGTATGCAGGTGATGAAGGTATATTGCTGCATAAGTAAGGGAAGTTGGCGATTGAAAAGTTAGTCATAACATTTATCATAAAGATTGGTTGTTAGATTACCATAATTATATTACAAACAGATTCTTTCTCAGTTTCTTAACTTTCAACGCTTATGAAAAAAGTTTTTAAGATATTTTTATTTAGTTTGCAAAAGTTTTACATTTATCTGTAAAGAAGCCAACCAGAAAAAGAGGTCCTTCCAACCGGGCTACTATGAATTGCACCACTTGTCGTTTGTTGAGTTCTGACAAAAACATGGTCGCCAACATTTACGTCAGATATTGCTAATCCACTGCTACAATGGTTACCGACATTCGAATCAAGACCCTCTTCAAAAGTTGCCCCTAACACATTTCCATTCAAAGTAAGTTGAAGAGGGACCCATGAGAATCCCCCGCCTTTGGCTATACACACGGAGAAGTGGAAGGCATATACTCCAGTAACAGGTGCGATGAAAATCCCATCTCCTTTGTTATAACCATTTCCTCTGTTGATATGAATGACGTCATAGACAATGAGATGGTGGACAGAGAGATTTGGAGCTGAGTTTGTGGAGAGGTAGGCGTAGAAAGCCACGGCAGGGGCAGGATATGTGTCTGGAGGTACTGTTATGATATGAGAGATAAAGACATAATTCAGAAAATATTGCAAATTGTAAAAATGATATATTTTCCCAAGAATAAACTAAGATATGTATAATTTAACAGAATTAGTTTCTTATTCTGCTTTTAAATCCTAACTTCAATCGTCGGGGTCAGTTTGGGGTGAAAAATATGTTTGCTGTTCTTCACAATGGCAAAGTTTCTAGTTTTATATCTTCTATTTTATTCCGTATCATTTTGCCAAGTACAAAAAAAAAAAAAATCAGTCTTTTCTGTTACTCACTTATTCTTGAAACAAGTCTATTGCTTTTGACAAATTTTCTAGTGTCATTCAGTGATGTTTCGAAGACTTCGGCCGATCTCTCAGGAAAAGGACTACTATCCTTTTCTTGGAAATTTGGATTCTCATAAAGTAATATCGTGACCATATCTTTCACAGAATCGAGTTCACCCTTTAGTTGTCCGTTTTCTCGTTGGACATCGAGGACCACTGATTTCAAGAGTTCGTTTTCTTTTCGCAGAAGATAGTTGGATTCTTCTACGAACATTAAACGTTTCTCTATTTCTTCTCTCCAATCTTCAGATTCAAATCCACAAGCTACACTAAATAGCGTTATAAGAAGAAGAAATCCGGACATTTTGAACACCGCTAAAACGATATATGTGCGTAGTGCAATTTGCCTGATAAGAATATACATGAGCTATTCTAAAAGTAGATAAAAAGTTGCACGTTATACATTGATATGGCATACAGGACTCGTAACATAAGTATGTGTTTTTTTTCACTCAAGGTATAACAAATATAACATCCAAAATAATTAAGAATACTTTTCAATTCACAATTATTTCTGGTAGATATTAATCGAATTTGCAGACGTCGCTATTCTTTCCAAACTTTTTTTTTTTTTTTATAACTTACTACCTTATTTTTTGAAAACAAACCTGAAAACATGCCTTCTGTCTCGCATTATTGGCACCTAGTTACAATTTTTGAAGCTTGTTGATTCACCTTGTCAAACACTGTGATCAAACTGCATTCGGATAGTGTCCATGCTCTCTGACCTCGGATCCAAATAGTAAGTCGTTTGCCAGTAAATTGAAAGATGCAGAAATATCATATTTAATCATTAATGTCATATTTTTTATAACGGCGCTGGGATGATTTTGAGACTCTTGGAAAGTTTTCTACTTATTACCTCTGTTGCACATTAAAAATGTTAATATACTTTATCCACTTCTACAGACTATCATTCCAAACATTTCATTTCCTCTCGATGCAATAAACCTGTGGCCATAGATGAACAAAATGGACGTAACGTATATCAAAAAGGTTCTTGTAAGTTAATTTCCCTTGTTGTCAAAGTACTAGGAATAGAAAGCAACAGCTGAAACGGGATATGTCTTTCGCGATACGGAAAATTAAATTAAAATAAGATTGAAAAATACTGTTGAGTCCCTATACGATTTATTTTTGGGAGATCATAAGCGAGAAAAACTTTCACGTTTTTTTTTTTTTTGATAACTCTTGCATCTTAAATAATACAAGTAATTAAACGCGAGATGGAAATTTTTGTGAGTAGACAGTATTGCGTAAGTACGCGAAAGAAAAGTTCTCATTAATAAATGTTTTATAGTAGTTGGGATTTTTTTACGAACACATGTCGCCCGTGTGGCGCAGTGGTTAGAGCGTCTGCTCTAGAGTCGCGAAGTAAGGAGTTGATCCTTACGTCGCGGGTTCGAATCCCACTGTGTGGCGTGGAGACCGGTCCTTCGGATGAGACCGTATAAACCGAGGTCCCGTGTAGCAGTAGGTGCTGGCACGAAAAAGATCCCTCACTGCTCTATGGCCGCCGAGTATAGGACAAAATTTGCAGCTCTCCACCGGCAAGTGGTGGCGTCTCCATATGAGTGAAAAATTCTCGAGAGGGACGTTAAACAACATACAAACAGACAAACAAACAAACGAACATATGCATAAATTCTGTTTGAACATAATTTTTTTGACATTTTACTTATTTTGGTCGAGTTTTCTATTTACGGTGGACGTTTTGTAGCCAGCGTGGCTCAGTAGTTGAATGTTTGTTCTAAAGTCGCAGGGTAAAGTAGCGGGTTCGAATCCCACTGCGGGACGTGGAGACCGGTCCTTCAGGTAAGATCGTATAAACCGAGGTCCCGTGTCGCAGTAGGTGCTGGCACGAAAAAGATCCCTCACTGCTAAATGGCCCAGAAAGCCGAATATAGGTCAAAATTTGCAGCCTTCCACCGGAAAAATGTGACATGAGCTGCACATGTCAGACTGAGTGCAATACAAACAAATACATGTAAAATGCAATGAAAGGTCATTAAAGGCAATATTTCGCCCATTCAGTTCACAGCGGCCAGAAAGCAATCAGGCGTAACAAATGCGATGGATATGCCCCTATGCTGATAACTAATAGTAAGTATTTACATGTCGTGTTCAGCTTTATAAAGTAAATCTTTTTAGTATCACATTTCTAGTAGTAATATCACTATACTAAACATCTTGAGGTGAGGCGTCATTCTTATTAATACCCTTCCAAGAATAGTTGTCCAATGATATTTTCTATTTATAAGGTGCACTTGTCTTCTGATAGAATGATGTTTGACTCTATATGTAATATGGTGATATCAGAGTTCAGAATTGGATGAAATACGAAGATAATGAACGGTAATCAAGCTCAAAAGTCCATTGAAAAATACAGATTGTGAGCAGAAAACATGGACCTCTAAAATAATCAGAGGTGGGATCAGGTCGCATGGAGGAGTAAGCATCCCATGTCGACTGGTCACACCAGCTGTGTGCTCCTTGTCATGATCGGATGAACAGAAAAATCTAAGGCAATTGAGATTGATAATAAAGGCCTGACAATTTGTGTGAAAGCGTCAGTCAACATTCGACTTAGTGATAGATTATATTTGCTAACAAGGTCATTAGAATAGAATATGCAAAATGTTGACTTTTGACCTGGACTGTTGATATTCTTGTATCATCAACTTATTTTCAATAGCTTGCCGCGTTCTAGAAATATTTGATATGTAGAGTATCTAATCAGCTGGGAGACAAACTCCATATTCAGGTGATTAAGGTACATTGCTACATTCATAAGGGAAGTTGACGATAGAAAAGTTGAAGTATCACGTGTATCATAAAGTTTAGTTTTTTGTTTACCACCTTTGTCTTTCTCTAGTAAAATATTCATGTATGAAACAGATGTAAAAGACTCTGAGGTCTAAGTTTGAGTTTAAAGGGATACAGTATATCGAATCAACGTAGGAATGAAAATAAATATTGTAAATTGAGAAAACGTCTTCGATATATGTAAATATCGAATTGAAGATCACAGCAAACGACTTCTTTTCATGTAAAAGTTTTTGAATAAATTCTGCTTCATATGAATGAAAACCAAGTCTTCTAAAATGGCGCAAAACTATTACCCGTTGGAATTCCAACAGATTGTTGGAAGACTTGGTATCCAGAAAGTACATAGATATTGTCAATTAGAAACTCATGCATCCTTTTGTCCTCCGCTTTCACTGAAAGTGGAGGATATTGATTTTGGTCTGTTCGTCCGTCCGTCTATCTGTAATTCTGTCTGTGTGTAAAACTTTCGTTTCCGGACGATATCTCAAAACCATTCTAATCTTTTGCAATATAATTAAATATCACAACTTCCTATGACCTATAGAAGACCCTAATTGATTTTGAGGTCAAAGATCAATGTCATAAATTCGCTCATGCTGTCTGTGTGTAACACTTTCATTTCCGGACGATATGTTAAAAAGCCCTTGAGCTTTTGCAATGACAATTTATTATCACAACTCCCTATGGCATAAAGAATTAAGACCCCTATTGATGTTGAGGTCAAGAGATCAAAGGTCAAGTCATAAATTCATACATTCTATCTGTGTTTAACACTGTCGTTTTCGGACAATATCTTGAAAAGTTTTTGAGCTTTTACCATAAAAATTTTATATCATTTATATATTTTCTTATCGCCTAAGATTGATTGATTGTATGTTGTTTAACGTCCCATTCGAGAATTTTTCACTCATATAGAGACGTCACCATATACCGGTGAAGGGCTTCAAATTTTGACCTTTACTCGGCACTCAGGGCCATTGAGCAGTTAGGGATCTTTATCGTGCCAACGCCTGCCGTGACACGGGGCCTCGGTTTTTAAGGTCTCATCCGAAGGAACCGCAACTTTCACTTCAAAGTGCCGAGCGCATGGCGAAGGAACAGTTGCTACCCATTTTTTATTGACTTCGGTCAGTCGCGGCCGAGATTCAAACTCACGACCTCCCGATCACGGAGCGAGCGCTCTACCGACTGAGCTAACGTGAACGGTTTATCGCCTAAGAAAGAACTCGATTGATTTTAGGGTCAGAAGTCAGAGGTCAAAGTCATAATTTCATACATAGCAAATGGCAGTTTAAAAAAGATAACCTTTTTTTTAAGTTTTACGATCAAAGAATGAACTCGTTATAACAAGAGAAGTGACCTATAAGGCTGGTATTGGTCTAAATCTTTACAAAAATGCTTGTCAATTTCTATTCCGGTCGACGAGTTTAGGTTACAGGCATATAGTTATTCGTATCTCATACATATTTTTTTTCTAGTGTTCTAGTTAATGCACTTAGTATGCAGAGACAGAAGGAAACTTTTCATAGACATTAATTATGTACATTTAGTATGATATTGTCCACGAATTTTGATTGTTTAGCGTCCTTTTTTCATTTTTTCACTCATATTGAGACATCATCACTTGCCGGAGGAGGGCTGCAAATTTAGATGTGTACTGGGCACTTACAATCTCTGGGCAGTGAGGGATCTTTTTCATGCCATCACCCACTGCGATATGGGACCTCGGTTAATAGGGTCTCATCCAAAAAAACCGGTCAGCGTCACACAGTGGATTCGAACCTGTGACGTAAGGATCAAGTCTTTACTCTGCGACTCTAGAGCAGACGCTCTAACCACTGCGCCACGTGGGCGACCCACGCATTTTGAGTTCGTAATTAATTAATATAAGAATTATGTAATAAAATAAAGTGAAGAGTTATGGATATGTTACCCTACTCAAAAAAACTAGCCCATTGACTTTGAAAGTACATATAAAATGTAACAGTAAATGTTAAGTATATTAAGCACAAATAGTACAAGAGCTACGTTTACTTTTCACTTCAATAATCTAAATAAACACTAATAGCACATGCAATAAAGGTATATACGTTTGAATTGATCAAAGTCAAAGATAACAAATTGACCAAATATATCAACAATAGAAATTAATACATCGCAGCTCATTGCAGACTAGAATACCTGTATCAAGTAACACACACTGATTAGTTCTTGTCGTCGAAGTGTGCTACACTAATGTATAGTTCCGCTTGATTGCGGTTTGGTTAAATTTTCATTCTTACTAGTAATATCTTTTATATCACGAATGAAGAAGCATTAAAGATAGATAATTGCCCAAGATAGATAAATAAGTCCAAGTCCCTGCCAAAAAGTAAATAAAGAAAGTGTTTAAAAGGCGAAAAAAAAAGTGTGCCACCAGGTGGATACTAACCATAACTACAAAAAGTTAAAATGGTAAATAAATCAGAATCAGTCGTCCAAACAACTGAGCTACACTCACTGTGATGTTCGACGGTATAAATATATATAAACCTTTTCCTTTTTCTTTTGCATGTTTTGGGAATTTCGACCCCAGGGCGCGGGATTGGGGGAAAGAGGGCTAGGAAAATCCTATTTAAATTATTCCTTAGATAACAACTATCAAAATAGCAAAATTTTATTTAGGGGTAGGTCTGCCCTGGATGACTTCTAGGTTTATATTCATGCAAAAGCCCATGCCTAATGAACATTGATATTGAAATATGACTTTTCCCGGAAAATTATTCTCTCTTATAGGTCAATTCTTTTGTTAAGATGAATACATTCTTTAATATCTTAGCTCCCAATTGCCTATTAAAAGACCACGATTGATTTTGAGGTCAAAGATCAAGGTTATAAATATAATTTTTCTGTGTGTAATCTTCTATTTCCAGACCATATCATAAAAAGCCTTTAAAACTTTGCAATACGATTTTATATTACAATTCCCTTTGGCCTAAAAAAAAAGACTCCTATCGATTTGAGCCCAAAAGGTCAAAGGTCAAGCTAAAAAAAAATTCATATTTGCAAAAAATATATAGATTATATAATTATATAGATTTACATTATCATTCTTACAGTCATACTCTAGCACCATGCAAAGTTTCTTTAAAAAATCTTTTCAATGATGCCTTTGACACCTCTTTTCCGTTGCTCTCATATGGACAACGACGCAACATTTCAGTATACTAAACACTCGGGATTTTGACCTCATTTTCAAAGTTATTACGCCATAAAATTACATACTGACGTCACAATAAGTGTATATTTTTCTGATCTTTTTAATGATATAAAACTCATTAACTTCCGTTAAAAGGTTAATATTTTATTAAACAGTTCTCAGAACTTTTCAAATGACTCTCGTAAAAAAGACCCTTTTTGACTTTAAGGCAAAAGCGGAAAGGTCAAGGTCTGTATTTTTTCTACCCTCCTCTTTTTCCTTGAAGCGGGAGACACAGCTTCTCTAAATTAGCTTGTTAATATCAATTTCGGAGTACTTGTGTGTAGAATTATATATATATATTTTTTAAAGAAATAAATTTGCAGACGACCAATGACAAGGTATTTATATGCATTAGAAGCCAACGTTCAAATAATGCTCATTTTAAACACCATACAATGCATCAAATGAATGTGTATTCAACATCTAAGCTTTTGGAAATAATACAAAAGTGGAACTGATTTAGTTTTGAGTCGTAAATTTATTTTTCAACATATTAACATAACTCTTTCAATTGCTTAGAAACCAACCAGAAAATGATGTTTTACATATGTCATTGCTAAACAAGTATCCTGTTGTCCCTTTCTGTGTTCTTATGAAGACGTGGTCCCCAGAATTAGCAAATGTAACCACCAAATTACTCCCTTCGCGATAACCCATGCCAGCATGACTTTCTTCATTAACAGCCCCTATTACTTCTCCATTTACAAGAATTTCAAAACTAGCATATGCACTCCCGCCAATGCAAACTGAAAAATGAAAAACATAAACCCCAGAAACAGGTGCGATGAAGATGCCATCATATTTGTTGTAGCCGTTTCCTCTGTTGATATGAAGATTGTCGTAGACCATTGTATGGTGAGCTGTTATTGGTCCGCTATTTTTAGACAGGTAGCTGTAGAATGCGATGGAAGACACTGATGATGATGATGAAGGGGGAACTGAAAATTGTTATCATAAAAGTTAAAGCATATAAACTGTAGATTTTTTTTGCAAACTCTTGCTATAAATGACAACAGAGCTATAAATTTAAATTGTCAAATTTTACTCCGGAATCCGAACCTATGAATTCGATCTTCAATTCTTTTTAGAGCGCTTGTCATTGCTAAAGTTGAAAGAAAGCCTTAATTTTTTTCACCATCTCTTTTTTGTGTAATTAGCCTATTTTTATTTAATTGACTGGAAATAGGTACAATTAGTTAATACATGTATTTCAACAGGTTACACAAACCTATTCTTGCAACTCTTTGTTCATTTCTTCCTAAGTCAGATCTAAAATTGTCTTCAACAGAATCCACTATCTCTTCCCCTTTAGATTGCTTCTTCAGTTTATCATCGGTGTCTTGGACATGTTTCCTTAAAATGTTCTTCATGGTTTCAAATTCACTCTTCATGTTTTCGTTTTCACGAAGAAGGTCTTTCATAGCAGCTTTCAGTTCCCGATTTTCACGCTGGAGAAAATCTAAACGACTTTCAACGGCAGATTCCCAACCATTATCGTCCATACTATATATGAAACAAATTTGTAGAAACAAAACAAATAATGCTGTTTGGCGAAACATTGTTGTTTGGAGAAGTACAACGTTTTCGCAACGCTAAGTTTTATCGCCGATATATTCTAACATAGCTTATCTTTATACAGTACAGCAATTGACCTATAGAAATTTGGGGGTTATCTCATTTAGAGGAAGGTCTGTTTTTCAATTCTTTAAGGTATACTAGCCCTAGATTAGAAGTTTATGTGATTGTAAAGTGTCCGTCATCCGTCCGTCTGTGTGTCTATCTATTGTCTGTAGACGTTATTCCTCATATAGTTTTAGTCTCATTTCAGTAAAATTTGGCTTACAGGTTGACTACACCAAGATACATATTTCTGAATATCAGTTATTGATATAATTAAAGTTGATGCCATGGTTGCTAAAAATAGGATAAAAATTTAAATGTTACTTCTCTTACAGTTAAGTCTGATCCAATAAAACTTCGTATAAAAGGAACTACATTTGATACTCATTTGTTGTATTTTTTTGAATGGTGATGCCATGAATAATAATGAAAAAAAAATCCTTCAAAATGCTTCCTCTCCGACATTCAATTTTATGAAAACTTGCTACAAAAGTAAAAAACATTGATGCATAATTCTGTGGTTTTGATTTCAATGAATGAAATATGTGGAGATAACGAACAGTATTCAAGCTCAAAAGTCCATTCAAACAATACAAATCAGGAGCAGAGCAAACACAGGCCTCTAAAACCAGACCAGAGGTGGGATCAGATGCCATGGAGGAGTGAGCATCTCCTGCCGACCGGTCACACCCGCCGTGTGCTACTTGTCATGATCAGGAAAGAACGGAAAAATCCGTGTATAAATAATGGCCTAACAATTAGTATGAAAAACGTCAGTCAGCATTTGACTTAGTAATAGATTGTATTTGCTGACAGGTTAATGTATCGACAATAGAACTTGATGACTTTAAACGAGAATGTTGATATTCTTGTTTCATCAACTTGTTTGTCAATAACTTATTTCGATATAGAAATTGTTCATACGTAGAGCATGCTCTTGCGTATCGAATCAACTGAGAGATATATACCCCGTATGCAGGTGATGAAGGTATATTGCTGCATAAGTAAGGGAAGTTGACGATTGAAAAGTTAAAGTCATCACGTTTATCATAAAGCTTGGTTGTTAGATTACCATTAACGTCTTTTTCTAGTAAAATATCCAAATGTGAAACAGATGTGTCAGACTGTGGTATCTTTTATTTCAAGCTCACTGGGATATATGGTGTCGAAATATGAATGGAAATAGCTATTGTTAATTGATAATGTCGAGTTGAAGGCCACAGCAAGAGTTTTCCTTTTCTGTCATGGTTGTCAAAGTATTATAATCCTTCAGATTTTTTTTTTCAAAATTCCATCCCTTCCAGATATTTGTTGAATTTGAATTTTAAAAAATGGCGCTTAAAAGAATACACAACCAAATATAATTCGTTACAGCATTTCAATAATTCATTTTTATATTTTTGAATGGGTAAATATATAGTAATTTTATTTTTTTATCATTATAATGATTTTCAATCTCCACAATGAATTTCCATGCCATTTCAAAATCAATTTTACTTAAGAAAAATGACCATTCACAAATGCATTGTTATGCCAGTGTAGTAGTAATGAAACTTATCTCCATTACATCCAATGCCGTTTTTTTTTTTTTTTGGCATTACAAAATATTTCGATTCTAAGTAATGTGTTTTCCATTACATAAAGCGTTATGCCAAGCCTGCTTCATAGTGTATTTTAATGTCAGCATTACACTTAATTTTAGAAAGTTATGCTTTACATTATCATTACATGTAATGGAGATATTTATTACATAACAAATCACTTCGATTTAAAGTCATGGATTGCAATATCTTTCTATTATGTTAAGCATTACCCAAAGCATGTTTTCAAGTGATATCAAAACCAATGGAAATCTAAAATTATACTTTTACACAAAAATAATACTCATAGTTCTCCCACAAATGTCGTCATTTTTCTCGTTTATAATGCATATTTTAGTCTAGTTCCGATGAAAATTTCTTATCATGTATACATGTACGCAACCACGCATTACTGTCAAATTGACAGTAGGCATTTAGAAGACACAAAGATAAACATAGTTTTTAAATACGTAATGTTTTAATATGATTATCTGTACAATAACCAACCAGAAAATGAGGTTCTTCCATTTGCACTGCTGACAATAGCCCCTCGAGATCCTGCACGTGTTCTTATAAAAACATGGTCACCAGAATTCACGTCTGAAATAACTAAATTGCTACTACAATGGTATCCACCAGGTTGACCTGTATTTAGACCTTCTTCATAAGTAGACCCCAAAGCAAAGCCATTGACAGCATTTCTAGACTGGCCCATGGAAAATTTTCACCTTCAATCATGCATAAGGAGAAGTGAAAGGCGTAGACACCAGTAACGGGTGCGATGAAAATCCCATCACCTTTGTTATATCCGTTTCCTCTATTTATATGCACGACGTCATAAACCATAAGATGATGCGCTGGTAAATTTGGAGCAGTACTTTGTGATAGGTATCCGTAGAATGCTACGGCAGATACAGGATACGTGTCCGGGGGAACTAAAAAGATTAAATTAACATCAAGTTCAGGTGTGTTTTCTAAAAGATGTAATCAGCATACATACATAAAAGTTAATATAGAAAAAAAGTGGAAGGCTAGCTCCCCATATCCTTTAAATCGAAAAAATCTTGTTGATCCGAATGGGTTGATCCGAATTAGTCACTTCTCAGTCTCTTCTGGTGACACACATTTATAAGAAGCAGTACCACTTCTAAAAGATAGTTAGAATTTCTAAAAAAAAATCATTTATGTTGCTAGAAAATGACTGTTAATTAAAAAAAAATCACTGGTTAAACAGAAATGGAATGAATTTGACGAAGTTGCTGTCAGACATACCGAAGTCGAAATTGCTTTAAATGATTTTTATTTTGAGGGGATTATTATAACACTGCTGAAAGAATCCGAACTTAAGATCCTTCTAAGCCAATAAGAAAATTTTCAGAAGCTTATACACAGGAATGCAAACTGTCAGGAAGGTAGATGTTTCTGCTTTGGATGATGATAAACTAGTCATTCAAAGCTGCAATCTCAACTTTTTGGAATTTTCCTGAAAGCTTGGAAAACTCTTTGAAAAAAGAAAAAAAAGGAAAAATTGTGATTGTCTCTTTTGTAAGCTCGCAGAAGTCCTGACCGTAAATCTGCACGTCCCAGCTAAACAGACGTAGAACTAACGAGGAGCTAACTATATATAATTTACTATTACTCCAGACCATATTTTTTTTGTTTTAAAAGAGATTCATTTTCTCTAGATACTGGTAAGAATTTGAACTTACTTATCCTGGGAACAGGTTGAATTCTTCCACTAGGCATCTCCTCATGGTTCTGAACCGTAGATCGTTCGGAAAGTGTATCCCTATCCCCTACAGTGTGTTGTGAAAGTTCTTTAACAATTTCCGTGTTGCGTAACGTTCCACATTTGTCAACATTTTCTCTTAGTTCTTTTAAGTCTTGTTTCAGTTGTGCGTTTTCGTGCCATAGATCTTCGTTTTCTTTCAAAAGGCGAATATTTGATTCTTCAACCAAAGACAAACGTTTCTCGATTTCTTCTTTCCACGTGTTATCATCAAATCCTCTGACGAAAGCTATAAGGATTGTAAACAATAATATTATATTCATCCTTGCTAACAAGTTCTCTGCTGACCTCTTGTGAGCAAGTGAACTATAGATAGCGATATTTTACATTTTGATTCTATTGCATGCTTATTCAGATAAACTTTCACCTAACTTTAGATAACAGCTTGACAACAGAATTTCATTTTTATAGTATTATACAGAATATATTGCTTGCAAACTTGTAAATAGTATTTTGATCGTACCTCAGAAACAAGCTAAATTAGAGTTCAGTGAGTAAAATTAAGAACTTCCATTCAACTTAACGCAGAATAAAAATTACATATTTTTCGTAGATATCCCTGATGAAAACCCCTCGAAAATTTGCTAGTGTTCTGGTGTTGACAAATTTCACCTCTAAAGTATCAAGAAGTGTGACCATTTGCTGATATTTAATATAAATGTTCATTATGACATCTCAGTACTGATATTTAATATAAATGCTCATTATGACATCTCAGTACTGATATTTAATATAAATGCTCATTATGACATCTCAGTACTGATATTTAATATAAATGCTCATTATGACATCTCAGTACTGATATTTAATATAAATGCTCATTATGACATCTCAGTACTGATATTTAATATAAATGTTCATTATGACATCTCAGTACTGATATTTAACATAAATGTTCATTATGACATCTCAGTACTGATATTTAACATAAATGCTCATTATGACATCTCAGTACTGATATTTAATATAAATGCTCATTATGACATCTCAGTACTGATATTTAATATAAATGTTCATTATGACATCTCAGTACTGATATTTAATATAAATGCTCATTATGACATCTCAGTACTGATATTTAATATAAATGCTCATTATGACATCTCAGTACTGATATTTAATATAAATGTTCATTATGACATCTCAGTACTGATATTTAATATAAATGTTCATTATGACATCTCAGTACTGATATTTAATATAAATGCTCATTATGACATCTCAGTACTGATATTTAATATAAATGTTCATTATGACATCTCAGTACTGATATTTAATATAAATGTTCATTATGACATCTCAGTACTGATATTTAATATAAATGTTCATTATGACATCTCAGTACTGATATTTAATATAAATGTTCATTATGACATCTCAGTTGCAAAGGATCGTGTTTTAAGGAGGTTCGCTCCTGTGCTTTTGAGCAGATTTTTGTCTTGACCTATATTTCAAAAAATTCTGCATTATGTTTTAGTTCTTACAATAAATTTGGATTGTACAATGCCAGTTA